TAACAGCTTTATTCATCATCTATAAATCTATATACACATGAGCAGAACCCCGATCAAATGTTTATTGAATGGTCACCCAATGGGGTCTACCAAACAGCCATCCATCAATTTAAAAGCCTTACATTTCGGATAATGTGACATGACCTGCATCAGCTTGATAACCGGTCCCAGCCACAACTGACATATCACTTCTACCTGGGGAGAAATGGGGCAATTTTCTACACAATGACACTTGAATTCCTGGCTGGTTATATAAGATTTTTGGGGGCCACCACAGCTTGCAATAATAGGTAGACAATACCTTACGAGCTTTGAACGTTTTTGGTGATGTTTTACATTATATTGTTGAACCCGTGGTAACTACCATAATAGCTTGGGGCTAGAGACAGTCCCACAATTCTGCTTTCCAAATGCACTAAAACTGTGGGAGACATCTAATAACCCGACACCTGTATAGGAGTGATAACGGTCACTGGACGATTAGTTCCCAAGTAGTAGGAGATACGACCGGGCTTGGAACTGTCCACCGGCCAATTTTAGGTTCCAAATCGCATTGCAGAAATGTGGCGTCTTTAAATGTAACACCTGCACAGGGTTGATAATCAGTATGGGCGCATTTGCTTCTATCAGAAAGTACGTAAAAACGTTGGAAATAGATGTGACGTACGTCTTCTAATGCAGTTGTCTCCTCCAGGCATGCATCCGTCATGCTTTAGTGCTCTAATCCATAGACTGTCTCTGCAGACCTAGAATCTGGGTCATTTCTCAAGACTTTAGACTTAGAGGTACTTGTAAGTGCATTTGTACTTGGGTCATATGAATGTCTACTTGCATAATAATCACTGTGGAGATATATTGGTGACAAAAAAAAACAACCTCTGAACTATTGATAAAATTAAAATTTCTTATATTTGTGCTAACTGACTTGGATCTTATTTTACATTCACCTCAGCAAACCCATGCTAAACTTCTGTCATGACTTGATAAAGATTTGATCTTTTTCATCTTGGACATGAGCACTCATTGTTGAAAAACCATGATATGAAACAAAAAAAGTATTTCAAGGGTAGATCAAAAATAGTACAATGCAAGAATCAAGTACAAAGAAAACCAGCTGGCCCCATCCCTATTTGTCATCAACAATACAAACTCCCAAGTTTACATTTGATATCATCACATGGGATCTCTGAGTGGTGGTCGTGTTTAGTCACCTGTGGTCTCACTTAACCCCAGATTATACTGGGACTCGGGTAAACAGGCAGTACTAACTAAGAGTAAGAATAACACAATTTTATGGATCACCCTAGATTGTAAATGAATGGAACAGTCCAGATTTCAAAACATCAGATGTAAAAACATATTATGAAAAGCCACATTTGCACTGTAACAATAGCTACAAGTTCAACCAATACAACTGAATGCAGAGAGGTCTGGTAGTTTAACTTTAAGGGCTGTTCAACTTCAAATAATACTTATTTAATAGTTTTGATTATACTTTTGCCCCCTAAAAACTATCAAAATGATAAAATACAGTGAAAAAATGCACAATTGTTGCTCCTTTTATCCACTATCTTACTATCAAGTATCATGAAAAATAAATGAACCCCTAAGCCACCACACTTTCAACGGTTGTGTTCCATACACACTTAGCCAAATGTAATGCTTTGTTACAGACACTATAGCTGATAAGGCCATGAAAATTTAATACCTGAGTTGTTTAACAGGCTTTCTGGACATACATATCTGATGGTATAAAGTACATCACACTGGTTCTTTCAGAGGAACTCAACTCCAGAAGCAAGTGTTCTGTTTTATCAGACATTTTTCTGAATTTAAAATTATCAGGGTATATTTTGAAACTTGACATTGAGTTTGGACTAGGTAGCAGTTAAAACAAAACTGTAACAATATCATAAATGTGGTCTCCTATATAGAAAATAACAAATGCTTCTGGTGTTGAGGACCTTTTTAAAGCTGTTATCAATGTATGTGTCTGCCTTAGGTAATGTTCTGGCCCAAGTGCACATTCAAGGCTTAATGATTTTAAGAGGACAAAGGAAAAGTCTTTCTTACTGCGCTTAATAAGTTTTGTAGCTTCTGGGCTCTGGTTAACGTTGGTGGACTCTTAAAGCTTGACTGTAATCTACAGACTTGTACATGGCAAAAGCCATATAGACTTAAACCTTTTGAACAAGTAATCAAATTACCTTGAAGGTCTAAACACATACATGTTGGACTGTTGATTACATATGTTTTTAGTTTTTACAAAGGAACCACCTGACATTTTGTCCATCGCAAGTAGTACAATGTATCTACATGTAATTCAACCATACAAATTTGCAAGTGACTGATACTATATGATGTTTATCTAGCATTGGTGAATTTCTGATGGTTACAAATAAGGCAGGGAATTGTTTCCACACAGATCCACTTTTCTTGAAGACTGTTTGCAAGATTTGTTAATCAAAAGCACCATGTATAATTGGAGAATAAATCATGTATATTTAATCACATACTCGCCTGCAACAAAGTCAATCATACTCATAGAGATCCTATCTAGCTATACTATAGATTACATGGAGCAAAACTTAAGATTCAGCATGATTTGTAAATAGTTCCAGTTGAAAATAATATTGATTAGATAACCATGCATGAAAAAATAAAATTTATCTTTTGTCTGTAGGCTGTGCTATAAATAACCTGTATCAATGCAGAAAGGAGTCCTTCAGATTTCTGGGCTTGTTGGGTAACTAAGAACCGTTCAGAAAGTGGTCTCCGTGTATTCATCAAAGTGTTTACAGTGACAGCTTTGGTTCCTGGTGGAGATTTTATCACAAAAAAACAGGTAACATGGAAAATTGAATGAGCTAGCACCCCTAACTGTAATGTTTGAAACTTAACAAAAATATCACTTTTGAAACTGAAATGACTTTTGAAATTAACATTGTATAAATTATTGTCAATCTTTAGAAATTTGGTACATGTACTATTGAAAACTGTAAAATTTAAAAAAAAAAAAAAAAAAAAAAGTAGAATTTTTACACAAATACATATTGGGGACAATGATACATGAAGTCTCGGGCCAGTAGACATCACACAGCAAAAATACAGAATTACATAATATGATATGATAAAACAATCAAATGTCAATCTAGCTACATATGGACAACAGTTATTAAAACCAAGCCACACAATTTGAACCCAGTACATATGTATAAACAATTTTATCATGGCCAACGTCTATCTAATATTCCAAGCAAGGACGTTGCTCCTAAAATGCAAATAACATAACAGGAAATATAAACACAATGTTTATATTGTATGAAATACAATATAAACACAAGAAATGTACATAGCCTTGCATTCCAGGTTATTTGGGAAGAAACAGCAGCTGCATTTATAAAGTAATAACTTCATTTCCATTGAAAGCACTTGTATCCTGGCTCCAAAACAATGAAATGATAAAGATTTCACTTGAATACACAGTATCCCAGAACCCATAAAAGTCACCTATTACAAATTTACACTCAGACTCTCAGAGCATAATACAAGCTAGGCAATGTCTGTTCTGTAACCGTAAAGTCTGTTTTGAGTACAGGAGCTATTTATGAACCCACAACTATCATACATATACGTCTTATTTGCAAACATGAAAATACAGTTATATTTTTTATGATAATATAATTACTCTGTTCTGTATTCTTACGGTAAGCAAGAAGACCACTAATAGGAATATTTCCTTCCCTAAAAGTATTGTAGAAAAGGCTGCACTTCAGAGCTGTATGTTACAGAATTTTGATCCCATATGTTCATGTATTTAAAACTAAATACCTGTGCAAGAAGGGTGATTGCATGTATGGAGGCCCCATAAAGAAGGGATGTCCTTGGCTTGCTTGTATGTTCTTGTCAGAACAAAGTGTTTCTATCTCTGTGCACTATGATTAGCGACTGGTCAACACAATACAGAATAAAGGGACTACATTTTGTCAATTGTATTGACTGGTTTTTACACTTATTTTCACAAATTGCCTTATCGTAAAATGATGTCTAATTAACAAAAGTGAGCAGATGATTTGATTGTAAATTGCTAGACAGTAACATTACATAATCATTGGGGCAAGACATCAGAAATTTCTAGGAGACAAATACAAAGAAATGTTTGACATTATAACTCAACATGCACACAATGAGAACAGACGTGTAAGCTTTGTGTACTTACAAATCTGTATCATATACCCTATTGTTCTAAATTAGACTTAGCTACATCTAATCATCACTTGATGAGCCTGTATAAGATTGTGTGGGAATAAGGCACCTGCTAAAATTAACACAACAGAAGCAGAATATTGTTCATGCAGGTTATGTTTCTATTTTCAGATTTGTAAAATGACTGACATCCGTTTAATATTCCAGCATGTCTTAATAAATTCTGGTTTCAATTCCATGGTTTTTAACTTAGATTTGATCACAATTTTTAATGAACATTCCATTTTACTTCCTTGTTGATAATCTGTTTTGTGTGAATTGTAGTCAAACTAAACAGCCTGTTAAATAAAAAATTAATGCTTGGTCTCATATGTCTGGAACTTAAATTGTGTAATGTCTTAAATGAAACAAAGTACCCTTTAAGGAAATGTCCTAACACCTGGAAGGAGAGAAGAGCTTCACACAGGTGAGCTTGCACAGGTAAACATAAGCACTGGACAAACACACCTTAAGCAAACCTTAACCTCGTGGAGGTAAAACGGCATTGATGGAAAACTACAGAGGCGCAAATAGAAGATAAAATTAAGGTTCACAGATGATATGTATACGTGGACAGGTTTTTGTCGATCTTTGCTGAATAAGGAAACCTTGCGGGTCGCATCCGTATCACAACAAGGGAGGCTGCGAGACCGGGTTTAACTGTTCCGGTTTACTTGGGAAGCGATTTCTCAATAACTCGTCAACGGATGGTCTTGAAAATTGGACAGGGTAAAGTTGGGGATGTGTGCACTTACCTGGCCGAGATGAGAGCATGAACCAGAAGAACGGGAGGAAGATGAGGGCAGTTAACAGCACAACTCCATTCCGCCGTACGGCCATCGAAAGGGAAAACCGAGATCCGCGCGAACGACTGCATCTGTTCACGGCAGCTACATGTGAAGGAAATTCAGATAAATTACAAGTTTTCAATCTTACTTGACATGAAAACTGTATGTTGCATTTAAAAGTAATTTATCATCACTTGAACTTGCATAATGTGCTACAGAAAGTAGAAATTACATGTAAATAGTGGCACAATTTGACAAACATACCAACTATGCTCCAAGAATTTGATACGTTTTGTTGCGGTAGGAGATGTTTCAAATGTTGAATGCTGGGAATTCTTGCATCAGGTTGGACTTTTTCCATATTTTTCTATATTATGGAGTAAAAATCAGAATAGAAAGAACCAATGTCTTGCAATGATAAAATTGATATCTGCATACTGAATTTTTATGAAATTGTGGAGATTGAAAATTTGTGTCATCGTCACCAGGTCAACTCGGGGTCATTCTGGAGCCATCCCAGTTTGCATGAAAAATTTTGGTTGGTAATTAACCTTGGTATGTCGACATCAAATTAAGAAGACAGGTAAGGAACCTTTACGTGCGAAGTACGGACAAAAACGTGACAAGACGCCCGGGATACAGGACGGATCCTGCACGGCCGGCCGTGATCACCAGATTGTCAGGTAAGTGGACCCATGTTGTCATGTCGGGCATTATGGTTCACTACGCAGAGTTTCATAATTTCAGGAAGTCTGATATCATTTATGACGGTTTGACATCTTCTCTGAAATGTTCATGGAACAACAAAACGTTTATCGTATGTTGAGTCTGTTCTTACTTCCATTCATGGCTCAGTAAATGTCACGAAAATAAAGTATAGGGACAAAACAAAAAGTAGGACAGAGCCTGTCTGACAACCATTTTTAGTTCGAGGCGGTATGTTTACAAACTGTACACACGGCTTTAGCCGTCCATCCTCGCCAAATTATGGGAAACAGAGCGAAAATCTTCGTCAGAATATCTCCAATGAGTTCTTAGGTACGTAACTGTCGATGGTTTAGGGCGGATTTCGGTGCAGACGACGTGTAAACTGCGGAAAATCGCATCGATGTCTGGCGCGAGGTATTGCTCAATACCTGCGGAGATGACACCATAGTGGGGAGGGCGGGGCGGAGAGATGGGCTGTGAAACACTGTTATTGTGTCTAAAAACAACAAGTACGCAATACACATCTTTAGTTATCACTACTGGAAATGTCCAAAACAGTGTGGGGCATCTTGTATCGATGTTGAAATATATGTATTGCTGATCATAATTTGTTTATATGTGGGACTAAACAGTCAACAGCAATAACACATGAGCATCACATGCATGTATGATGTGTATATAGAAACTAGTTTCTGGCATTTATAAGAAACATACAATTTAGCAATACACCCATAGAAATGATGTGTTCCATATAAGTGAAGACATCATGAGCTTAGTGTGTTACAGTTATGACAGTGAACCGTGAGGACAAACCAACAAGCTAGAGTATATGCTTGTTAGTAAGTTGTTACATAGTCTCATGTATGAACGAGCTCCAGACTTCAAACCCCAGATGAATTAAGAACCCAACACACTCATCAAGGAGACTACTAAGGTGACATGCTGTGCTTGACAATGCTCATGCCTTCTCTCTTATCGTTTGAAGGCCAATGCCCTTTTAAACTTATAATGTGTCACTTCACCAGAACCAAGAAGGTTAAAGAGTGGAAGAACTGTACAAGTTGGAGTGTAACTTAACATTCCAGCTTTATCTCAGTCTTTTTGTAGCTTTGTCGTGCACAGACTTTCTTTGCCCCTTCTATTTGTTTACAGCAATTATGAACTCTTATTTTTGTCCGATATGACCTCTGCTGTTGTAACGCAATGCATTACAGTATTAGGACCAATTAGGGTATTTATGCAAAGTTCTTTGATTAAACAAGAGTTACAAGACTCAAAAATATCTGTTTGTACTGTGAAATTTGATCAGAGAAAATGAAATCTAGGCATTTAAGGTTTCTGCGCATGAAACATTTCCATGTAAAAACTTAAGTGATTTTCAATTTGTTATGCTTTTAGTTGCAAAAAAAGTTTGAAAATAACATGTATTCTGCTTGAGGAAATAAGCAAACAAGCTTATGGGATGGAAAATAATCTCTCTACAAAACCTAAAAACCTCTATACGAAGTACATTGTATTGTTTGTTCTGGGTTGGTTGTCTGTGGGTTTGTGTGTATGTTTGTCTGGACAGAGCATTGGCTTGGGTTAACAGCATTGGGTAGATTGGAGGAAGATTGACAGGCAAACATAGGAAATGGGGTGAACTTGAAGGGTCCAGAGCCTGGCTGGGTCAGCCAGCAGGAATTAGAGGTCAATATAAGCAAATCAAGGGGGAATTCAGGTAGCCAAGGATTACATGAGTGACCCTGCAACCTGTACAGTTTCTGCTTGTTTGAATAAATTCACAAAAACCTAAAATACTTCCCCGGAGTCTGAAATGTCATTGTCAGATTTCTTGTTTTCAAATGTTAAGGTCTCACCCGGTCTTATTAGTTTTCACTAGTAAGAGCTTTTCACGTGCAGACAAGGCATTGAAAGGATTTGTCACAAGCCAGCAGTTCTGTTGTATCCATGGTATCCGTGTGTATCTTTGAGCTAGTATGTAGGTTATGTCTATAGCAACAACCCAGGGTCAAGGCTTAACCTAAGAAAAGAACTATTTCAGGTAGCTATTTTTGCAGGTGAGAGTTTATTGCCCTGGGTACCTGGAAATTAATCATTGGGAAGGGGGCACTCCCCATAGAATCCCAGTCTCCACTCTTTTGGGAGAGCTGTATGAAGATGTATTTGAGAAAAATATTCATTATGACATATGAGGTTAATAAATTGGGTCTATTCTTTGCTTTATTGTAGCATCAGTCACAACCAGGTAATGGTAAACTTTGTTTATTCATTTACTTTGCGCCATATATACAAAACTTGTAAAAACTTTATATTACTGTAATAAAAGATAAATCCTACTATGTTGAAACTACATGCACATGCATGTGTCACCGGTCCAGACAGGCATGTACATCCGTAAATAGCAGTTGGGATCAATGTTGGCCTCCATAATATGAAGGACATGTACAATTATCTGGCAAAGGGATCAATGCTTTTTCCATTTTTGCTGTGTATGCAGGGTATCTCATAAAAGGACAGATGGATTTTCATGTCATCTCTTTTCATGCAAATTGGTACTAGCTTTGGTGACATGAAAGAATGATTCAATTCTGGGAAAAATCTGGGATTATAATTACATGTCCTTGTATATATCAAGGACATTGGAACACAGTGTTCCAATGTCCTTGTATATATATATAGTGCTGCCTCTTTACTCACATGAGTGTGCATAATCTATTCATGTCATTGTTCGTGATAGCTGTACTGACAGACTGTACCTAATTGGGCGCTGGTCAAGAAGTAAAAACTGGTCAAGGACATGCTTCAGGATGGTCATTGTAACTTCAAACATGGCCATATGACCATTTACTTTAAGATGATATATAATTGAACATACCTACTTTTTAATGAGATCGTTTTGTTACAGTAGTAAGATTAGTTTAGACAATTTTGCATTTAACTTAGTAGGGCTCATATTAGCATTTTATCAACATTTGTTTATGGGTGGATAGATGAATGAAACATATTGCAAGTTACATTTGAATGGTCATTAAAATTTGAGTGTGCCTTGGCCAGTGCATTGGTCAAGTGGTACAGGTGCAGTTCCTAATTACATGTACCTAACTACATAATTATATAACCGATCCTATTTGTAGTAAAAATGAAAATAAGTTGTTTGATTAAAAGTGTGTATATATAATTCCATGTAACATA